ATGCTGCTTGACATGCTGTGTTCCTCCAGCCCCACACTGTGTTAACTCTGCCCCTCTTGCTCCCTTTCAGCTTCTGAATTTCCCAAGACCCCCGGTACAAACAGAAGAACTGCTGAAATGAAGATGGCAGAACTCATTATAATACTCAGTGAGATTTGCAGCTTCCCCAGAGCAGAATATCTCTACTTCAACACCCCATTCCCCCTTTAAATATGCTCTCCTACCCAACACAGAGGTCCAGTGACAACTGTGTGTGCCATCTACAGATCGAGTAGATACTCCCCAAGGCTCCTCCTACAGCACCTGCCCAATCCGTGACCCACACCTTCTAGAAAGACTGTTCCCCTCCAAATCACACACTCCATCCCAGTTTGGAACTATAATCGGCATTCCCACGATACTTCTGAGTTCAAGAATTTGGAACCAGGCCCTCGAGAGAGAGAGAGAGAGAAAGAGAGAAAGGAGGTGCTATTAACAACAGTCTGAGGCTGCTCCTCCAATCAAAGGCTGCTTTGCTTGTGCATTTGCTGCCCATAGGTTCATGGGGTCAGCCTATCAGCGTCACATGAAGGAGAGAAGCAGCTTGGCATTGGAGACTGCAGTGACAGAGCCAATAGGATTACAGTCAGTACAGCTCCAGTTTTGGACTTGGGTGGGGGTGAGAATGGCTTTGGGACTTGCCTGTTGCAAGGGCAGAGCCAGGCTATAGGCTTTGCCAGGCACAGCTTACAGATCACTACCAGCTGGCTCTGGGAGGGTGGTAGGGGGCTGCTGGTTTTGTGGGGGCCGGGGGGCGCGGCAAGGGGAAGGAGGATGCTCTAATTTGGAGGGAAGAGTTGGAGGCTTCAGCGGGCAGGGCTGTGGGAAAGGAGGAAGTTGCAAAGGTTGGGATTGGTTGAAAGAGCAGTCTGTCAGGGACAGAAGGGATAGGAGGGAGCAGTAATGGCGGGGGGTGCGAAGGGAGAAAAGTGGCTGCAAGGGATGGGGATGGGGCAGGAGGAGGCTACACATGGGGGAGAAAAGAGTTAATAAGATTACAAGATAAGAAGGAGGCTGAAAAGAGGACAGAACAGTTCTGTAAACAAGGAAATACTCAATTACCTGAGAATCAGAATAGTTTGAATTTGAAATCACTGAGGTGATAAGTAATTGAAAATGAGTTGGAATCTTTAGTTAAAGCTGCAGAAGATCCGGATCCACTATGTGGGGACCAATACAGGGGATGCTATAGTAACCAATGCTGTCGACTGTTAAATTTAAATCTGTGATTGGGATCTAGATGCGGTGCATAGAAACGAACTGCCTGTCAAAGTGTTCCAGCTCTTTGTGTATTTGTGTTGGAACAAATTAGTTGCAACCACACCAGTCTGTGAAAAGTGTGTGTTTAGGCAGACAGTTTTTTCTGGGCAGTCTGTTAGTAATTTTGAAAAATTCTTCATGGCTAATTTACCTCATTGTCTTCTGCCGGTTTAAATACTGTGGTGTCCAGGAAATTAACACTTTTTTTTGTGTGTGTTTGTGACTTCAAATTTAATGGAGGCTTGATAATTGAGAAAATTCTAATCTGAGCAAATCTGAATCCCACGTACGTCAACATAAATACAGAAAATGTCAGTACTTCATGTCTGCATCACTTAATAAATGAGTCAGTGAAGGTGGAAAAGGACCCCTGAGATCCAAAATTAGGTTCACAAAAATTATAAAGTAACAGTCGAATAAGAAGATATTTTGATACCGACCCCGGTTGTGTGCACTCAAATAAAAATTGCAAATGCTGGAGATCTAAGGTTGTTATTTCACATTGTGTGACAAAGCCATGTTTTTATAAATGTAGGAAATAGGGTCAGGAGTAACCCATTCAGACCTTTGAGTCTATTCTGCCATTCAGTACGATCATGGCTGATCATTTTTTTTAGTTCATTAATGGGATGCGGGCATCACTGGCCAGGCAGCATTTATTGCCCGTCCCTAATTGCCCAGAGGGCAGTTAAGAGTCAGCCACATTGCTGTGAGTCTGGAGTCACATGTAGGCCAGACCAGGTACGGATAGCAGTTTCCTTTCCTAAAGGACATTACTGAACAAGATGGTTTTTCCTGACAATCGGCAATGGATTCACGGTTATCATTGGATTCTTGATTCCAGATATTTTTATTGAATTCAAATCCCACCATCTGCCGTGGTGGGTTCCCCAGAATGTTACCTGGGTCTCTGGATTAATAGGCAAGCGAAAATACCACGAGGCCATCATCTCCCCAATGCCCAATTCAGTACCCTGTTCCACATTCTCACCGTGTCTGCGTGCGTTTCCTCTGGGTGCACCGGTTTCCTCCCACAGTCCAAAGATGTGCAGGTTAGGGTGGATTGGCCATGCTAAATTGCGCCATAGTGTCCAGGGATGTGCAGGTTAGGGTGGATTGGTCGTGCTAAATTGCACCATAGTTTCCAGGGATGTGCAGGTTAGGGTGGATTGGTCGTGCTAAATTGCACCATAGTTTCCAGGGATGTGCAGGTTAGGGTGGATTGGCCGTGCTATATTGTCTCATAGTGTCCAGGGATGTGCAGGTTAGGGTGGATTGGCCGTGCTATATTGTCTCATGCTGTCCAGGGATGTGCAGGCTAGGTGGATTTGTCATGGGAAATGCAGGATTACAGTGATAGGGTAGGGGAATGGGCCTGGGTGGGATGTTCTTTGGAGGGTTGGTGTGGACTTGATGGGCTGAATAGCCTGCTTCCACACTGTAGGAATTCTATAATTTCTTTGGAAGAGAAGCACCTAATACAAAAAATGAAGAAGATTTTGCTGAATCTACATAAACAGTTTGACCCCATTGTGACTATGATTTCCTGTTCTGGACATGAGTGGGATGTGAAGGCTTTGTGGATGTTTCAGAAGAGATTTACTAGAATGGCTCCAGGGTTAAGGAATTACAGAGAAGCTGAGGTTGCCCTGTAAAAGCCAAGATACCTAATAGGATTCGATGAAGGTACATACAATTATGAAGTGTGACAATACCATGGCTTTAAGAAGTGTTTTTTTATTGGAGAGGTTTTAAGATGGAGGTGATGAACTGTCTATTTGAATCCAATAAAAGGAAACAGCCTGTGAGGCCTTGGTTTTTTTTAAAGTTGGAACAATAAAGCAGCCTGAGCGGGTGGGCTCAAGCTCCTGACGGAACCAGGATTTTTAGTTTTCGCTTTCTGCAGTTGCTGGGGTCTTGCAGCTGGGTTTGGAAGCTGCAGAACACCTCTCCCTGCTACTCTCTCCCTCAGAGTTTTCTCTTGACGCTTTTCCTCCTGAACTGGAGAATTGCCTGTGAGACAAACTATTTTACTGAGTTTGCCTTTGCCAAAGGTGCATTTTGGGATGTTACTGTATTGGAACAGTCACTGTTTAGTAGTTAAATAATCTATTATTCTGTTAAGTTTTCCAGTCAAGTTGTTATTCTAATTTCTTCTTTCTAATGTTGTATTTTAACTGTAGTGTGTAAATAAAAGGTGTTTTGCTTCAAGACCAGTAGTTTGACCAATCGAATTGTACCTGAAATGCAACACCTGGCATTTGCCTTTAAAATAAGAAAAAGTTAGGGTTTAGGCTATTTTAATATATTTTGAGGGGCCCTTACCTGGTCATTAACAGAAAGGTTTAGGTTGAACATATTGAAGCTGTTTCCCGTGACTGAAGGATTAATAATCAGAGAGGCCAGTTAACTTTCATTTAACTGGATTGTCACAGGTACCTTGAGGAAAACTTTCACGCTGTGGTCAGCATTTGGAATGATATTGTGGTGGACTTATTCACATTGACAGACCTGGTATTGTGAAATAAAATTGGTTAATTATAGATCTCATTGAGTAAATGTCCCCAGATATCAATAGTCATAATATGATGAATTTTACATTCAGTTTGAGGGAGAGAGGAGTGAGTCTGAGGCTACATTTAGAAATTTAAATAAGGTATGTTATAGAATCGCTACAGTGTGTAAATAGGCCATTCAGCCCATACTAACCCTCTGAGAGCATCCCTACCTCTGTAACCTTGCATTTCCTATGACTAACCCACCTAACTTGGGCATCCCTAAACATTATGGGGCAATTTGTCATGGCCAATCCACCCTAACTGGCACATCTTTAGACTGTGGGAGGAAACCAGAGCACCCAGACAAAACCTGCGCAAACACAGGGAGACTATGCAAACGCCACAGAGACAGTCACCAGAAGCTGGGTTCGAACCAGGGTCCCTGGTGCTGTGAGACAGCAGTGCTAACCACTGAGCCACTGTGCTGCTCTTGTAAGGCACGAAACATCCCAAGTGTTTACAAGCAGCATCACGATAATAATCAGATAATCTGTTTGTGAGTGGAAATATTGACAAGAGTCCCTCTCTTCCTCTTCAAAATAGAATCATAGAATCTCTACAGTGCAGATAGAGGTCATTCGGCCCATCAAGTCTGCACCAACCCTCCAATGGAGCATCCTCCCTTACACTAAGCCCACATTTACTTTGGCTAATCCACCGAGCCTGCACACAACAGGACAGTTTACACTGGTAATGTGTGGCATTTCTGTCCAGCACACCCAATAAGTAAAGACATACAATTATAAAATGACCTCAGGATGACAGTCCTGCTCCCAAGGAAAATGTAATGAATGGTGATTCGCCAGGGAAGAGAGAGTCAATCTTCAGAATTTCATAGAATCCCTACAGTGCAGAAAGACGCTGTTCGACCTACCAAGACTGCATAGCCCTCTAAACAATATCTCACCTAGACCTGGTGATAAAGGAATAGGTAGATCTAAAGCAATATTTATTTGTTGCTGATCTCTACTCTTCTTTGAGAATGTGAAGGTGAGCCACCTTTTTGACTCACTGCGATCCTTATAGTGTAGTACCAAAGACTACGGGCAACCTTCTGATTCTAAGACTGTAGCACAGTGGGCACTAAGACCCGTCCCTTGCATTCCTTAGACTAAAAGCAGTTGTGTTTTCTTGATGTTCCAGGGCTGAGTTTGGGAACAAAGCCATTACCCTTAATTATCGAGACCTGGAGGGAGATATGGTGCGCATTCTAGATGACATGGACGTTGAATTGATGGTTTTGGAGGCCAAAGGTCGCTCGTGGATCAGAAAGCCCGATTTTGCTCCATGGGAACTACATGTGACCAGAAAGGATGATTTATCAGTGTACAACACAAATCCGTGAGGCACGTTTGCTAATGTGTGCATTCCTTTCAAGGGCCTTTTGAATTAATTCATTCTTAGTGACCTGTGCTAATTTGGGGAGAATTATTATTTGGTCACTCCCTCTTTTCAAAGGAATTTAATTGTTCTTCATCTGTACTCTTGCTCAGTCCCTTTTGGCCATCTGATGTAGGAAGATGGAAAATTATCAGTTGAAGCGTGTCTGATCACTAATTCTCCATTATGTTTCAGAGTCAGTGTTCTGTTTCTGAATATCTATGGATCTCTCCAGAGGGAATAGTATCCATGACCTTGATTTTTAGCTCAGAGTCACGTTCTGAGGAAGGGTTGGGGGGGAACGCTCATTGTTAGGTTAGGAGACTGAAGAAAAAAGGCTTCTTTTTTCTCATCCTTGCATGGAATGTGGGTGTCATTAGCAAGACTGGCGTTTGTTATCCATCCCTAATTACATATGAACATAGGCACTTGCTTGGCGTTTCAGATGGCAGTTAAGAGTCAACAATGTTGCTATTGTGGCAAGAGTCTTGTGTAGGCGAGACAAGGTAAAGATGGCAGATTCCCTTCCCCTAGTGAAGAAAATGGGTTTTTATGACAGTCAACAATTAAACTAGTTTTTTAATTATTGCACTTCAATTTTACCACAGTGACATTTGAACCCAGGAACAAAAACAGAAGTTGCTGGAAAAGCTCAGCAGGTCTGGCAGCATCTGTGAAAGAAAAAAATCAGAGTTAACGTTTCAGGTCCGGTGACCCTTCCTCAGAACCTGGACCCGAAATGTTAACTCTGATTTTTTTCTTCACAGATGCTGCCCGACCTGCTGAACTTTTCCAGCAATTTCTGTTGTTGTTCCTGATTTACAGCATCTGCAGTTCTTTCGGTTTTTATTTGATATTTGAACCCCTGTCCCCAGGACAATAACCTAGTTCTCTAGATTACCAGTCCAATGATGTTACCGTGACACCATGCCTATATTGTCGTGTGGTGTGCTGAATTTAACTATTTGCCTCCTGTTAAGCAGGGTTTCTCCCAGTGGCAGCCATTGAGGGGGTTGAGCTGAGCTAAGGAATTGGGTTGAATTAGCATCGACCTTGGGTCGTCTCTGGTGGCACACCCTCTGAGTTGGTTTCGGTGAAAATCGCATGAAATTGGGGTCAGAAATGGGTTACGTCTCAGCCAGGGCTTTCCTGTTCTCACACCAAGTTGTGCAGACAGGACAGCGGGTGTCTGTCAGGTTCACTCTGAGTCTCAGTGTCCCCCTGGTCTCTCCATCTTCAGTGTACATTCCCTCATACACTTGCGGCCACTCATCCCCTTCAAGCTGCGCACCATCCTGACTTTCAACTATATCGCCATTGCTTCATTTGTCACTGGATCAGAATCCTGAACTCTCTCCCTGAACGCACTGTGGATGTACCTAACTGTTGCAGCTCATCGCCACCTTCTCAAGGACAGTTACAGATGTAAACAAATGCTGGTCGAGACAGTGAAGCCCCTGTCCCATGAAAGAAAATGTATATAAAAGAAAATCAAGTGGGCACTTTCACGGTATATTTATATCTTGATTTTCTTTTTGAGTTTGAATCTCACATGTGACTCCAACCCATCTGTTTTTGTTTTCTGATCCAGTCTTGCCTCATAATCCAGATGTCTCAGACATTAATGATCAGCTTCTGTCTGCTCCCCTGCATTTGGCAATCTCACCTAGGCCTCAGAAGTGAATACAACCCTCACTGAACCATCGACTGAACACAACACACTTTGGCCTGTACACTACACTTTAAAATCTTTAGTGCTACATTTTATTTCCTCTTTTGAGTGCTGTTTTCAGGGGGCTGGCCCGGTTAACACTCAGTCCACTATAACCCCTGAACTGCTTTCAGTTTCATTTAGAACATTGCACTCAGCTACAGCGCTGGGCGACTGGACAATAGATAACATTAAATTGATACCTGATCTTGCCTTGCAATGTGACTTATGCAATTTCACATATTGTACAACTAACGTGAACACTATTCAGCAGAGAAACGTGTGGCCAAATATTCAGGACAAATACAAGAATGCCAAATTTGAAAAGGTCACAACAATTTACACTACACTGCAGTACAAATAGTTGTGACTTGAAGTTAGTCATTCTTGTATTTGTCCTGATGGAGAGCAAGACTAAAAGATTTACAACATGCCTCACATTGAGCAAGGTTCAACATTTGTCCAATCCTGCAACTATTATATTAAACATTCTGCTGCTCATGTTGGCTTTCATTTTGTTTTATTTGTGTAGGGGTCTTTGTAAAACTTTAGCCATCTTTCAAATTACATATATCTTTTGACAATTCATATAAGTTTCCCTAGAGATTGTTTCCATCAATTTTGCTTTCTTGCATTCCAAGAAATTATTAGTTTAAAGGTAAAGACACCATTGTTCACCAGACCATGGGACTGCTGTCTCATCAGAGAGAATCAACTGGTGGTGGTTTAACCTGAGGGTCACCATACCCTCAGGTGAGGGGAGAGATTCAGAAGGCAGGAACTTCATGGTAACCTCAGCTGGTGTAGGATTTTAGCTCATGTTTTTGGCAGCATTCTGTGTCACAGACCAGCTAATGAGCCATTGAGCTCTCCAAACCCCTTGTTTTAATCTTAATACAACTGTCCATTCAGGGTAGGAGACAGTTAGAGTCAGGCCTCCCTTACCCAGCACTCCAGGGACCTAGAGTTAGTAAGAACTGCCGATGCTGGAGTCAGAGATAACACAGTGTGGAGCTGGAGGCACACAGCACGCCAGGCAGCATCAGAGGAGCAGGAAAGCTGCTGTTTCAGGTCGGGACCTTTCTTCAGAAATGAAGGGACCTAATTCCTTTTCAACCAATAGGACTTGTGGCAAGTGACGATTGTGCCACACAAATGCCAGGCAATGCCCATCTCCCACAAGACAGAATATACCCATCTTCCCTTGACATTCAACGGGGCTACAGTCACTGATACCCCACTATCAACATCCTGGAGATTACCATTGACCAGAAATTGAAATGAACTAGCCATATATAAATACTGTGGCGACAGGGACAGGTCAAATACTGTGAATCTAGCCATGAGTAACTCACCTCCTGACTCCCCAAAGCTTGTCCATCATCTACAAGGCACAAGTCAGGAGTGTGATGGAATACTCCCCACTTGCCTGGATGGGGGCAGCTCCAACAGCACTCAAAAACAAAGCTTGACACCATCCAGGACAAAGCAGCCGCTTGATTGGCACCACATCCACAAGCATCCACTCCCTCCACCACCGACGCTCAGTAGCAGCAGTGTGTACCACCTACAAGATGCACTGCAGAAATTCACCAAAGATCCTCAGACAGCACCTTCCAAACCCAGGACCATTTCCATCTAGAAGGGCAAGGGCAGCAGATACATGGAAACACCATCACCTTCAAGCCCAAGGACTGCAGTGGTTCAAGAAGGCAGCTCACCACCACCTCCTCAAGGGGGCAACCAGGGACGGGCAACAAATGCTGGGCCCAGCCAGAGACCTATATCCTGTGAATCAAAAAGAAAATCGAGTCTAGCAGTAACTGTTTACATTGCGAGTGATAGAGACAGAGGGGAATTTCAACAATGCAGCGATGCTGAGAGAGGGTTTCACTGGTATACCTGAGGCCCAATGCCAGAGAACACATTTTGTTCAAATTGAGAAGCCTACTGAAGGGGTAATGGCCTATGGCAAAAATTAAACACTGGAATAAGTGACTTGAATCTTTGAATAGTTTTGCCATTCGGCCTGCTGAGCTGGGGCGTTTTGCCAGACAAATCGAGCTGGACCATCAGGCCTACTCTTTCTCCACAGTCCTGCAAATTTCTTTCTCTTCCGGATCTTACCCAATTCCTTTTGGAAAGCTGTGGTTGAATCTGACGACCACACTCTTGGGCAAAGCATAGTAACATAAGAACATGGGAAATAGGGGCAGGAGTAGGCCATCTGGCCCATTGATCCTGCTCCCCCATTCAATAAGATCATGGCTGATCTTTTCATGGACTCAGCTCCACTTAGCCGCCCACTCACCTTAACCCTTAATTCCTTTACTGTTCAAAAATCTATCTTTGTCTTCATTTAGCGAGGTAGCCTCAACTGCTTCACTGGGCAGGGAATTCCACAGATTCACAATCCTTTGGGTGAAGAAGTTCCTCCTCAGCTCAGCCCTAAATCTGCTTCCCCTTATTTTGAGGCTATGCCCCCTTGTTCTAGTTTCACCTGCCAGTGGAAACAACCTCCCTGCTTCTATCTTACTATTCCCTTCTTAATTTTATATGTTTCTATAAGATGCCCCCTCATTCCTCTTATTTCCAAGGTGTATAGTCCCAGTCTGCTCAATCTTTCATAAGCCAACCCTCTCAACTCCAGAATTAACCTAGTGACCCCCTCCAGTGCCAGTACATCCTTTCTCAAGTAAAGAGACCAAAACTGTACACAGTACTCCAGGTGTGGCCCCTACACAGCGGCAGCAATACCTCCCTGTTTTTGAAACCATCCATATCGCAAATGAAGGACAATATTCTTGATCATAACCACTTGCTGCATAGGAAAGGCCTTCCCTTATGTTACCTTCGGTTCTCTTTGCCAGTGCGTGCAGATTTGCCGTGATCTCATTAAGCGGAAGAGGTTCGAGGGGCCGAATGGCCCACCCTACCCTCCTAAGTGCAGCTGCTACAGTAACACGGCTTCTGTTTCCTCGTTCTCATGATTAGCTCCTTGAGTGTTTACGCACATTTCCTGCAAGTCTCGTGATTGCGTCCTGTGACGCTATTCTCTGCCACTCTCTGTTGACGACACCACTCCGTTTGGCTGTGAGCAATGCCACGGAGGGTCTGCTAATACTTATTAGGAACTGTTAAAATAAAACCGAAACAAAATGTCTTCAAGGCTGTGAGAGTCTTGTGTTTTCCCATCATTCTCAACGACAAAAGAAACAATTTACCTAAATGATGGTCAAAGGAGATGCGTAGAAACATAGACAATAGGAGTAGGAGTAGACCATTCAGCCCCTTCGAGGCTGCTGCACCATTCAATATGATCATGGCTGATCATCCAACTCAGTCCCCTGTTCTCATTTTTGCCCCATACCCTTGATCCCTTTAGCCCTGAGAACTGGAGCTAATCTGTGAGATCCATACACATGGGCATGTTGTCAGATGGTTGCATTTATGGGCAATCCCACCACTAGGTGGAGCACTGTGTAAAATCGGAGTGAGCTCTCCAGCCTCTACCCAGCAGTGACTGTACATTAACATTCATATTTATCCATAAAGCTCCAAGAAATGCAGCCTACTTGGGAGGAGGGATGACTGTTTCAAATTCTCTGTGGATCTTTTCTGCCTGTTGTTTAATCATAGAATCCCTAATGTGTGGAAATAGGCCATTGGGCCCATCGAGTCCACACTGACCCCCTGAAGAGCATCCCTACCCAGACCCACCCCCTACCCTATCCCTGTATTTTCCATGGCTATGATGTGGAGGTGCCGGCGTTGGACTGGGGTGGACAAGGTCAGAAGTCACACAACACCAGGTTATAGTCCAACAGGTTTATTTGAAATTAAAAGCTTTCAGAGCGCTGCTCCTTTTCCTGATGAAGGAGCAGCGCTATGAAACCTTGTGATCTTAAATAAACCTGTTTGGGTATAATCTAGTGTTGTGTGACCTCTGAC